GGGGTTCACCCAACCTATCCAATGGGAAATCGGGGGCCCTTTCCCCGGGGGTAAAGCGGCACAAGCGTGAAGCTGCTCACTCACCTCCACCTACTGCCGAGGTCAAGAAATTGTGGATCTATACGTCCACTCCCCCATACGCCTTCATGTCGCAGTGCTTAATCAGTTAAGCACTTGGACAACTATACCTTTACTTTTAAGAAACAGCAGTAAGGAACGCATAGCCAGCATTCGGAACTGTTCTTCAGTTTCATTCTCAGGACGGACCACATCCCTGCTGTGCACCGCTCTTCCCATCCGTCTGCCAGTCTGTACGCATGAAGTAATTCGGAAACAATTCAACGGATGTTCATGTAATTTGATACTGGGGCGTATTAATACTGTTTATCAACATATACCAATTTTTTTTTTTAAATCGGACGAACCTAACCGAAAGTTTATGTTAATTTTTATGGCCATCTCCAGCGTAAATCAGTAAATATTTATATTAGTTAAAAATATTCCGAATAAACGTTGCACAGAAACATTAAATACGTGTTCTATATGCGGTGCAGGGCATGTAGCACCAAAGGGGGAGACGAGGAATGCGTATAGGATATTGGTGGGAAAGCCAGAAGGAAAGAGATCACTGGGAAGACCAAGGCACAGGTGGGTGGACAATATTAAAATTAATCTTAGATAGATAGGATGTGATGGTATGGATTGGATTGATCTGGCTCAGAATAGGGACCGGTGGAGGGCTATTGTGAACACGGTAATGAACCTTCGGGTTCCATAAATGCTGGGAAATTCTTGAGTAGCTGCAGAATTGGCGGCTCCTCCAGAAGGGCTCAGCTCCATGAGTAAGTAAGTAAGTAATTAAGTTTATATGCGGTACTTTTTTCCGTAATTGTTGGGATTTTTGTGAGAATGAAACAGTAATTGTTATGTTATGCGAATAAGTCTAATATTCTATATTCTGCCATCAAGAATGATCTTTAGAACACAAGCGAAGTTTACCGAAGGGTCTTATTTCGCTAGTAATCAAACAAGACTTCCTCTCAGCTGAATTTACAGGGCTACATTCAGATAAGCACATATTTATTTTAAATATAAATTAACATGGTGCTGCAGCCCTTACTCTGAACTTACTCGTAAGCTTCCTTTCTTTCTTGTCCAAACTTCGTTGTATAAAATTGTACTTCCTTTTTCGATGGATGGTTAGATATTAATAATAAACTACAACTAGATGTGTTGCTCTGTTCACTCACCATCTGTTTATCTGCCGGGGACGACAGCTCTTTCACATGCTGGGTAATCACTTGGCTTTGTCCCAATATGCCATTCATTCCAGATGCTTCAGGGAGAATGAATTTAGTTTGGCGGGTATGGCTTGATAAGCCCTGCAGTTTTACACGCCCCATAAATATGGATGGGTTAAATCGGGAACTTTAAGATATGTTAGAGAGGTACCTTAGGAACCCATGAGCCCTATGTAGGTATGACATTACTGTTATTTACACACCGGCGTGACGTACTAAAACAAAGAACTCACAATAAAGGAGAAAATACATACATTTTGTCACTCAACTGGAGACCGAATATACGCCTCCTTCAGGCAGTATTGGCAACTGCATTTCAGGAATAATAACTCACACCCTTAGGGTTAGAAGCCTTCAGAACATTGCCGATGGCGCTATTATATGTGGAAACACCAAAACAACAAAGCAACAGTTCCACACTATGAAATAGACTTCATAATCCTGTATTTTAGTATCCTGCTGCATTAGCTTTATCACGTGGTACATGCGCAACAAAGTCGTCAGTGCAGCTTCGTGGTATTTTGTGCGTCGTGTGTGTGACTCTCTCTCTCTCACACACACACACACACACACAATCCTCACACACAATAGACGCACAAAATACACACCCTTACAAAAGTGGAACGTAAGAAGAGTGCCACTGCACACGCCACTACATTTCTATATAATTTTAATAACATTTTAACATAATTGGATTAAGTAATAATAATAATAATAATAATAATAAGAGTGTTTCACTCGGGGCGGAACCCGGCATTTTGTTAATAACTCNAAATATCCCCACAAAAAATAATCAGGCGGCGTTAGATCGGGCGAGCGCGGTGGCCAAAATCCCCTGGAAATGACGCGGTCGCCGAAAAAAGACTGGATTTCGGCCATGCTTGCGCGTGAGGTGTGTGCTGTTGCTCCATCCTGCTGGAAATAGCCGATGGATAATTCCTCATCGTCCAGTTGATTCACAAAGCAGTGGACCTAACGTACGGGCAAGGACTTTCCAAAACATGGCGCGCCGAGTTCAATGCTGTCTGGACGCAAATGGTGGCCATTTCCAGCACTTCTTATGATGTCACCAGACTTCACGTGAACTAAGTCCACTCCAAATTTCATTGCAATATCTTTATTAGTATCCGAGTTATTAACAAAATGCCGGGTTCCGCCCCGAGTGAAACACTCTTTATATACGGGTACAGCCTTCTCCGGGCTAGGAGATACTGAACACAATGTTACAATTTACGTGAACCATATACACGTGACGGTGGACCCTATGTGGCCGAAACATGTCGTTTAGTTCGCAAGAAGACATGGAATAGGAAGTGTTTCGGCCAGAAATAACGAAGCTGCATTGAAAACTCTGCTGTGCGTGATGTCACATGGAAAACATTTGATTTAATTAAATGTCTCCAGTAACAAAATTTTGTTTCTAACAAACGTTCAGAAATGTTTCAGAAACTAAGAGTGACAGAAGAAAAGCATGGTCTGGCTTGGTAACTTGGAATAGGATTCTGTATGATGCAGCTTATTTCACCCAGGAAGAAAATCGTTTTGCCCTGTTGGCAGAAATTCATTGTTGTATTCTAGAGCCCATATATTCAGATAAATAGACAAATAAGTGTTTTAAAACCCGAAAGATTACTCAAAATCTCTGTAAATTATACGTTAAACTTAACATTAAACTTGAAATATGAAACCCGTTGCGTAAAATGTGTAACTCCACTCTTAAAACCCATCAAGTCTGAAGCGATGGGTAGGGATAAAAGAAAAAAGCTTTCTGGACCGTGAAGCTTTGCGTTATGTTTTATCGCACAAGCGTCAACTTCTGTATTTTACATTACTCTAAATTTTAAGCCTTTGATAATGAGATATGTACAAACTGCAGGTTCTGGTCGCTTTTGTCTGCTACTTAATCCATCGGTAGACCTACGGATTAAGCAGAGACATTCTTCATGAAGGGATTTTTATTCTGTTTTAAAGTAGCAGTTCCTACGAAGCTTTACAATAGAACTGTAGTTTTAGATGTAATATTTCACACTTGTGTTCTGGGCCAGCAAAACCTTGGTTTACCACACTCTTTCCAAGCAGCTGTCAGGTTTGAGGAATATTGTCTTCTGGGAAGTGACGTCATTAGTCTGATGTTTACTGATGTCCTGGAGGAACGCGGTGTCTCCATCTTCAGAATGGAAGAGTTGACGGGGGCGTCACATCTCAGACGGCGGTGACAGGGCGCGATTTTCGGTGGAGCGTCCGGGGCGGTAGCCCAAGAGCCTCTGCAAAACAGAAAATGAGTCTATAGGTTGTGTTGAGACATTTGCTTCTCTAAAATCACGAAAAGTTTATATTTTTTAGTTATTATACGGAATAATAACATCAAAAGAGAAATGCCGTAACCTAAATTTGTTGTTGCTGATAGGGGCCTCCACATTACAGTGACCAGCGGGAGAACCCGAACTCAGCTGCCAGGCCTGCAATATCTCACCCGCTCTCATGCACTTTACTTTCGTTACACCGTACATCGTTCTCAGACCGGACTTAAAATGACTCGGCTACCGCAGTTTATACATTGCCGTAACATGAAATGTCATTACTGTAATATTCTGAGTGTTGAAACCGTGTAGACTGGTTACGAGAGTTTTTGAGGAACGTATTGCGACAATTTTCTCGACAGTTGGTACCCACATAGGAGGCTACACGGTATCATAGCCCACAAGGTCACAATACGGATCTTCAGCGCCCTAGGAAACCTTAAATACTCATGGGCCAATTTTTATCGGTTCATTTTGGTTCAACTTTGAAAATTACCCTAGACACCCTCTATTAAAGGGTTGGACACACTTCAGCGTTCAATCTATCTGCTTAAATAATTTATTGGTAATTCAAATTTGATACACACAGAAAATTTACATGGATATCATTTCTGAGATTGTGTATACATTTTGTTATATAAGAAAAAGAAAAGTAGGCCTATTAGCACGCCCCGTCGTGCAGGAGTCGTTCTTAAAGCACTCACATTTATTTCTATATTCAAGAAATTCTCTTATTGTACAGAACCCGAAGGTCGTTGTCACGTTTAGAGATGCCTGTCGTTTAGCTACTTCTCATATGGAGAACTAGAAACGCATACAAAAGTCCTGTTAGAAATTTGAAAGAAAAGGACATCTTGGGAGACTTAAAACTAGATGGAAGGATCCTAGTAAATGTTAGATAAATGTATTTATAAGAATCTGAAGCCGTTAGTAGTTTGTCAACATTTACAGTTTTACAAACGTAATATCAATTTAAACTTCTTTGTGGTGTATGAGGAAGCATGCTTCCCTTCCTGTCTATCACTGGGTTTTTATCCGAAGTAGGATCGGTTCCGTATCCTTCGATATCTTGATCAATCGTAAGCAGCGGGAGACATATTTTTCAATTTAATTTTACCACAGTATGTGTATGGGACGCATGTATTCCATCTTGAAACTCTGCCCATATAGACGAAACTATGTGTATTTAATCAAGAAGAGGTTGCAAAACGTTTAATGAGACTGAGTTGTGTAGTGTGCTTGGATTTCCTGTGTGGAGATGCTCACCTTATTACATAAGGCAGCCGAATTTCTGGCTTTAACATCCAAAGTTTAGTGAGCAGTCCCCACTCGAGTAAAGTAAGGGCGACTTTACATTCCTGTATGAAGATTTAATGTTTATTTGTTTGCTCTGTTGCAGGGTGAAGACAACGTGGAGTATTTCCTTGGGCTGACTCCGAGTGGTATCATCGTCTTAAGGAACAAGAATAAAGTGGGGAATTATTACTGGTAAGCCGATATGACGTAACGAGAATGTTTGTGAAATATTGCCACGCCGTTCTCCCAACTGTTACTTCTACAGAACGTAATCCAAACCACGGGGAGCCTCTCCCTATTTCTCTCACAGTGGTACAGGTTTTCTCTAGCGCAGAGAAATTCTCATCCCCTTATTCTGTGCTGTTGCTTCCATTAATAATATTCTCTAAACATTTCTTGCCTTATATGTAACAGCACGCACCTGAGTCCGCTAGAACCTACGCGAAATTAATCTCATTGTGAAAATACTTGTACTTTACTATTCTGACGTTACGCGAAATTAATCTCAGTGTGAAAATACTTTACTATTCTGACGGAGAAAGAAATTTCCAGCCGCAGTTTTCCCTGTGTCGTTATTCATTAAGAATTTCCAGTAAAATAATAAATATATTGAGGCGTTCATCCAAATCAGATTTAAAAACCGTTTTCATATCAGAATACGTGTACCTCAGTACGTCAGGCTTCTGGCTTTATTTTTTGTTTGATGAATATTTAGAAAAAAATCATGAAAGCTAGTTTCATCAGTCAAGACGCGTGCAACTCTGAGTGACCAACATGACAGAGAAATGACATTTTGGCTCCATTTTAGGAAAATATCCACTCCAATAAAGTTGGTGCCGCAGAAAAATTTCTGTAATTAAATTCCAAAATAAGAAATGATTTTATATAAAAAATTATGTTTTTGTGAAGCTAAATGTCATTTGAATTTGTCGTTTTGTTGAAAACAATGTTGATAACATTAAGGGAACTGACTAGCTGCAGTCATACTGATTTCAAGGACAAATTTTTTCCTTCGCATTTATAAATGTGCATGTCTACTAAATGGGTTTTCAATACCGGCAAATATTTTGTACCTTGATATTAGAAACTGTCGTTTCTAAAAAGGAATTTCAGTTAGTGTACAACTTTCATTAATCAATTTTGAATGCTACGTAATTACTAATTATGTAGTATGCCAGAGTGAAGTATGTAAAATTACAACTTATTTATTTGACCGTCACAACACAACAATAAAAGAACTTCAAGGACAATGCCCAGATATAGTTCTGCTACATGTTTCGGCCACTAGTGGCCATCATCAGGCAAACACACTTCAACAAGCGTACACCACTGAACAGCA